TGCTACCTTCGCTAGCACAGGGGTCCCTCCTGCCTTGCCTCCAGGTCTGTGGGGAACATATCCCTCTGGTGCTGGCAGCCTTGTCTCCAGCACGGCAGGGCGGCGCTCGGCCATTGTTTGTGCAGCCAACTCATCTTTGTGAGCTGTGCTAGATGAAGCCACCCCGTGACTCCCATGGCTGGCTCTGACAGTGCCAAACTCTGTGAACAGCCTGGCCTCCTCTTCCTCCCCTGGGCAGGCCCTCGTGCTGCGAGCCCAGTCGGCTCATCTGAGCGTGTATATCGCATGGGAGAGGGGACGTGAGGACAGGGAGCAGTATTTCAGTCTTGCTCTGTACATATCTGTGTGTGCACACTGCGCGCACACCAGAAAAAGGCTTTTTAGAACCTAAATTAGATATTGGGAAAATTTTTTTGTGACAGAGTTTTCAGAGCCATGGCACATTCCCACAAGTCCTTTTTTACTTTCAGATCACTAAGTGGCTGTTGCTGCTGCTACCAGCTTGCAGGTCAGTAGCAACATGAGCAGATGACGTGAAGATTTTTTCCAATTGCAAAACACTGAGCAGGCATCACTTACATTTCCTGGATCCACAGGGTGCACTAATTAGGCTTGGCAGGGGCAAAGTTGGCCCAGCTGGGCTGTCTTTGGTTTCAAGGCCATGTGTCTCCACAGTGCACCACCTCTGGCTGTACGGAGCACCCCCATGCGCTGCACCTCAGACTGGATTTGAGTAAGTCAGGCTGAGGCTCGAGAGGGTGGCCAGCCTCTGGGGCAGCCTGTGCCACCCAAGGAGACGGGCTCGGTCGCCTCCCAGCAGAAGGAAGCGAGCCAAGTGGCATGGTTTCCTGGGGCTGGTCTGCCCCGTGGCTGCCACTTGGACTGTGCTGGCTTAGAGCAAAACAACAGCTTGGATGAGACTTACATCCTCTTTCGTCACACATAGCTTGTCACATGGAGCCCTTGCTCTGCTGCGTGACTGCTGCTGGCAATGGCCCCTTCTTTTCTGCATACCCTAGTTTCTTCCCCAAATGTCCTGTGATGGTTACAGAGGGGTCTGCCAAGAGTGTCAATTGCCTTGTAGATGAAAGACAGATGTTTCAGGTGAGCCTGAGGAGGTTTCTGGCATACGCTGCAAGAAGATGGGCGTGCCATGCTAAAGCCATGCAGAGCATCCCCCCAAGGATGTTGGATGCATGTCTCATGAACCACATCTCCCCCTCCCCCCCCCCAAATGGTTTTCATTTCCACAGGACTTTGCACTAACGCAAGCATTTGTGCCTCTTAAATTTCTAGCATCTTTAGGGCGTAACTTTATCAAACACTACAAAAGACAATTCAGCCAGCTTCAGTATGTCCCTCCCTTGTTTTCTTTTCCTGTTCTCTCAGACTTTTAATTTTCCTTTCTTTTAGAGCGTACATCTGTTTTAACCTCTTACCTTTTTCTTCTGCAACTCTGTTATGGCTATGTCTAGCAATGATTAGGACCCTATAGGCGCAGCTAACAAGAAATGGTCCCTTCTCCAAAGAGCTTGACTACGAAGTGCCAGTTTTGCTTTCAGTTGCTTTCTGTCTCCCCTTTTGCCCTCCTCTTTTTTCTGGGTATCCCTTTCCTTCTTTCCCCCATGTTTTTATTCTCCTGTTTCTTCCCATGTTTGCTGGAGCTTCTTGGCTTTTAGCTCCTTGGTTTCTTCCCCAGTCCCTCAGTCTTGGCTTTCATTTTCTTCACTTTCCACTACCTGTCTCCCCAGTGGCCTCTAAAACCACCTCTTATCCATTGGCTTCTGCCTCTGCCATAGACATTTGCACTCTGCTGCAGTCTCTACTATCATCTCAGTGCCCCAGTGGAGTGCAGGAGGGAGCGTGAAACTTAGTTTCTTCTCTTTCGTTCTCATGGCAGTGGCAAGGTGTATTTTCCTTTTCTCCCCTGAAGTCAGAGGTACAAAAGCCCACCGGGTTCTCCTGCCTCTACGCCCTCGAGGAGGAGGCACCCGTGAGAATTCCTCCTGACCTTCCTTGCAGGGCTGCATGAGTGACCTGTCGAGACCTCCCGCCCCCTCTAGCAGTGTAGGACTAAGGAGCTGGGAGGAGCAACATCACTGAAATATTTCTTTCTTCCACACCTATGTCTCTGTTGGTGGCCAGAGAGGATTACAAAAGGCACTCCCGGGAAGGTTTTGGCAGAGCAGCTAGTTAATTGAAGGGCTGGCTGAGCCAGACTGAGGCCTCCCTCGCTGGTGGGAGATGGAGACGGTCTGTTTGCTGAGCTGAGCTGAGCCCTGTGCGGATGCCTTTTCACTAGTTGCAGGGAGCCAAGCTGCAATGCAGCAAGTGACCCATCTGGGAAGTGTCCTGTGTCTCATGGTCCAAGATTTCCTACACGCTGCTCCTCCGCCGACTCCAGCCAAGCTGTGCCCCCTGCAAGGTCAGTGTGCAGCGAGACAGGCACACAGCTGTGTGGTGGCCCTGTTTAGCCCTGCAGGCTTAGCCACCTCAAATGCCAAGTTGGTGGGCACGGAGCCAGCATTCATCCTTAGAAGCCCTTCCAGTACTGGGCCAGCATCCACGGATTTTGCTTAATCAGTGCATGTCTTTGAGTGTTGCCCTTGGTAAAGAATACTTTAGCAAAATGTTTATTTTCATTAAAGCTGGTATACAATTTTCCAAATACTTGGTCGTGTTTGCGTTTATGCTTCAGATCACAATACTTATAATAAGTCAAATGTTGTGATCCTCAGTATGACTTCCTTTAGCTATGATTATATTTCTTCTGGGCTTCTGGTAATCCACTGTAATATTTTCCACGGTGGCACTGCAATGCCCACTTTGGCACTGAAGGCTTTCATAGCTCAAATGCGTAGTCCTACTGGCTATAATTATGGCCTGACACGCACACATGGATGCCTGGCTGGGGGCGGAAACTTTGTCTCTTGGCCTCACTCACATGGTGGGCTTGGAGCTCCAGAGGTGGCTTTCTTGGGGTTTTTTCAAACAGGTTACGCAGCTTTTACTGTTCAGGACAATAATCATCAGTCTTCCGGACATCCTTGGGAGAAAGGACTGGGCATCCTAGGTTGTGCCCACACATCTTCAGTTTTTGGGAGAGTTGAGAGAGTTGATGCTCTTGTTGAGCGTGACAACAAAGACTTGTGGGACTGATCTTGGTTAAAAGGCAACCTCATGAGCCCAAGCATAGAACTGTGGCCTTGACAGGTTACATTTCTGTTTGCAGTGTCACTTCCTATCACGCTCGCAACGGAGGTAACTGTTTGCACTGTCATAACATTTCTTCTGCTCAAGCTTCCTGGCCTGGGACTCTGCAGTAATTGCTGCACAGCCCATTGCCCTGGTCTCCAAAAGCTTGCTGGAGGCCAGCACTTAGACTTTCCCCTTCCGCTCGCGAGTCTCAGCAGTGCACATGCAATGGCACGCGCAGAGGCTCTGAAGCTGCCAAGCCTTTCTCTCTTTTTGAACTGCTTCCAGGTTGCTTGCCCTGACTTTTCTGCTTCAGCCCTTGGCCACATACAGTATTGCACCCAAGCTGCTGCTGGCCATGCTGGAGGGGGGGCACTATAGACCTGGGTGCAATCTGTTGGAACAGCTGATGAAAGAGGTCCAAACTCAGCTCAGTCTGTGAAGCCCTAAAAATATATGAAAGGTAATAGGAATGGTAGTTGTCAACAAAATTACAATCATGCCTTATTTTAGATTTCAAATCAAACTGAGGAATAGATGCAGAAAGCTGGCCATTGAAGTTGATGGAAATTTTGTCTGTTCTTGCAGGAGGAACAAGGTTCCTGGATGCTGGTGAGAAACAGGTTGCTATCTGATATATTGCCCAAAATTCACAGAAGGAATCATTGGCACTGCTGATTTCAGGTATCTTTTATTAATGCTGAAAAGAAAATTTAAGCATTTCCCTTGCACAATATGGAACATTCTTCTGATAGTCTGTGTAATCTGTAACCAGTGTTCATTCGTGCTGTCTCTGCAGCTATTTCCATGCTTTGTCATTTCCATCATAATATTTAGAGAATTAGGTGTTGTGTATTTTACTTGCAAGGTCATCTAGGGCAGTTCTGGTTTGAAATATTTGTACTGCATTCACTTATTTGCCTGTGAGCTTTCTCCAAACATGTGATAGTTTCTGTTGGCTGCTCTTTTTGTTTTTTTAATTCCTTTTTGGGAAGGGAAGTGGAAGAGCTGGAAGGAGAGGGAGAAGGTCCATCATGTGTGGTTATAGAGACATGTGTCACTGACAGCAGACAGTGACCAGATCAACCTTTCCATCTGCATGTTTGTGCTCTGAGCCACAGCCTGCATGCACCCTCCATCTCCACAAACACCAAAGCACAGGGGATTCTCAGTGGCCACATCATAGGATGGGTCCTCATTTCCTTTTGGAGACCAGCCTTAAGAGAATATCAGTAAATTGATGAACTTAGCGGCACATCAGTACACGGAGCTAACAAGAACCTGACAAATGATAAAACACACAAACATAACCACATCTGAGTGTCTTTCACACAGTGCATGATCAACTGAACGTCCAGAGCATAAGCTTGTGAACAAGCTTATGAGGGACCAAGCTTATGAGAAAGGAAATATCTTACAGGAAGTTGGATTACAGATAGGATTTAAATGGGATTGCTGAGGACTGCTGGAGTTACTTCTTTGCATCTTGACTTTAACTGAGATGGAGTTTCCTTTTCCTGCGTTGAGCGCTAGGCTTTGTGGGCAGCCGGGGAAACGGCCAGCGCAGGTTAATGTAATGAGGTGTGGAAGTCTGAAGTGGCGAATGGAAAGTCCTGGGAAGAGAGGAAGACTAGAGGGGGAGAGACTGATAAGCAGAGAGGGCCACGAAACTGCATGACATGAAAGCTTGGAGGACTTTAAGGGGAGGGCTAACATGGATGGGAAGGTGGTAGAGCTGCATTTCAAGGCACCTGAGGGGAAGGCAGGGAACTGCACACCTTGGAGATGTCACAGTCAAGAGAAGCATTTGGGGTACCAGCAAGCAAAGATTAGAGAGTAGGTTACTGCAAAAGGTAAAAGAGGAGGAAGAGTGAGTTTGAGGCTGTTTCTTCAGAGCTTTGGTGCCAGGCTGTAAGAAGAAACCCCATAGCAACAGGTTTCCAAAGGGTTGCAGTGAGATGCCAGTTCCGTTGGTGGGACAACATCAAGTAGGCTGCAGGCAAATAACGTCACCCCATTGTATTATGCTGACTTGATTCATGCTGTTTAATGTCTTCCTGTCCCCTTTTTTCTAGTCAAAGCCATTTCATTAGCTAAAGTTACAATTGATGTGTTTGGTTCAGTTGTCCTCCTTGAGGAATGCACTCCGGCCTTTGAGACATTCAGCTGCAGGCTGTGAGTTGAATCCCCAAGCTTATCCAGTCCTGCAAATTGTAGGAGGTGGGGCTGGAAGGATCATGGGCAGGCCACCTACTCCTCCCTGAGCCCCAGGCACGATCAACTGACTAATGCTTCTTCCAGGCTGTTCTTAAAAACCTCTAATACTGGATACTCTGCAACTTCCTAGGCAACCCATTCCAGTGCTTCCCTGTTCTCACTCTTAAAAAGGTTTTTGGTGTAATTCTTAGTGTAATTCCTTTTCTCTAATTTAAGCCTATCACTCTTGTGCCCCAAATAGACTTGGAAATGAGATTACTCTCTTCTTGCTTTGTATATTAGATGACCACTACCATGTCTTTGCTGCCCAAAACTTCTTTGATCCAGATGACCTTATCAATACAGTTTTGCAGTTTTAGACTATGCACCCTTTCCCACTTGACACCTTTTCTGCACTTCTGGCCATTCCTATTGCTCTTCTTTGCACTTTCTCCAGTAAGTCTGCAGTCTACCTGAAGTGTAGTGGCCCAGACTGTACGTGTAACACTTCAAATGAAGTCTTCGCAGCATAGAGAACAGGGGAAGAATTATTTCCTGTTTGTCACAGACAGTACTTCTGTTTATACACCTCATTATAGTACTTTCATTTCTCACTGCTGCGCAACTGTGTTCATTCATGTTGAGCTGTCATCCCTAGATCTTTTTCTGCAGAACTTCTGCTGTGCTGATTGTTTCCCAGCTCATCTTTTAGTACTTGATTACGCCTACCTAAATGCAGAGCTCCGCTTTGTCCCTACTGAATGGCACTTCTTTTCCCGTACGTTTCTCCAATTTGTCAAGATTGTTTTGCATTCTCATCCTGTTCTCCAAAGTGCTTGTTCTTCATGGTGTTCTGTGCTAATTTAGTAAGTGTTCCCTACTCTTAGTTCTTCAAAGATATTAATGAAAATACTGAACACTGCCAGACACAAAACAGATGGCTTCAGAACTTCATTTGATACATACTGCTGGTTTGACAGTGAAGCGTTTATAACTGCTCTTAGTCTGGTTTTCCAACCAGCCATACACCCCTCTAATAACGGTTTCTTCTAAACCATGTTTCTTTACCTTGTTTATGAAAGTGTCAGGTGAGACAATGGCAAAAGCTGCATTAAAATCAAGATAGAAGACCTACTATAGAAGGAAATTAGATTGATTTGATGTGATTTGTTCTTGTCAAATCAGTGCTCGCTGTTCCTCGTCTCTTTGTTATCTTCTAGGTGCTGGAAAATAGTTTATCTAATTACTACTTCCAGTATTTTTCCAGGAATTGAAATTAGGCTGCCTGGTCTCCGATTCTCGGCTCTTCCTGTTCCCTCCTCCCCCCTTTAAAGGTAGGTGTAAGTTTGCCTTTCCCAGTCTGCAAGAAACACAACCCCCTGCCTCTGAGCTCTGTGCTGATGATGGCTTCGAGGAGCTTCAGCTAATTTTCCCAGAAGGGTAAAATGATTTTTATCAGGCCTCGCCAGTTTGAAAATACCTGACTTATTTAGGCACTCTCTGACATGCTCTTTGTATTCTTACCCTTTGACTGTTTGTGCTAGTTGTGCTAAACATATCATAAAAGGGGCACCTTTGAGTAAAGACTGAAGGAGAAAAGTATCAAACGCTTCTGCACATTTGGCATCATCACTCAGTAACTCCTCAGAGAGGCCCTGCTCTTTCTTTGTCCCTCCTAATAAACACACTGACGCCCACTGCATGTTGCATCACTTAAAACTTTTTCATTTTGCTCCTCCATGTTTATACTATTCTTTTATACTTAGTAACATGACCCAGTTCCACTTTCTGTGTGCTTCCTCTGCCCTTCTACAGCTAATGGAGAGCTCATGATCTATCCAGTTCATCTCTTACTAGCCTTCTTCAGTGCTTGTGCTAAGTAGTAGCACTGAGGAGTTCACAAGTAGTTCTTTAGCACTTCTTTTGTGCTTGGGCCCTCCGTACAACTTCCTTAGAGTGCTGTCAACTTTCCAAAAGTCCTTTCTGCCTTGAATTTGTTGCCCTGGGATCTTGTGTACTGACACCCTGAGTTAGCTCAAGTCTGTCTCCTTGAAGTCCGCTGTTTTGTCTTTGCTTTTTTTCCCTGCCTCCTTTCCTAGAAGTCATGAATGTTACCACTTCAAGATCACTCTCACCCCAGTAGCCTTTCACCTTTACCTCCAGAATTGAGTTTTGCAGAGCATCTAGTCAGGAAGACGTTAAAGAGATGGATGATATCTGAAGTCAGTTCAGTGAAGAGCACAAAAGGAGTACTGGAATACAGCTAAATATTTAGCACTCACTTGTGTCAGGAAAAATTAGTATTACCTTTCACAATTATCTGCCCCTGTATTTGAACTTGTCATTGCATTCCAGGACATCTTGCTAATAGTGGTGGAAATGTTTGTGTTATTTGTGTAAAGCATGAACAGTACAAACATGTTATTAAAATACTTATCTTCTCCATCTGCCTGTCTCAGGATTCTTTTATGGCCCCTATTATGTCTGTGTACAATGACAGGGCTTAAACTTTACGAACATTTAGAAATTATGTGTGTAATAAACAGATAATTAGATTCTTCTTTATTCAATTAAGCATTGACATTAAAGTGTGTTTTTAATCATGGAGGCTCAAGCCAATAAGAGCTATTTCATCATCATTGTCACAGCACTGAGGAGTCCTTGTTACAAGGCAGAACTCGCTGTGCTCCGTGCTCTGGAAACGCTACTGAACACGGCTCCAGCTTCTAAATGGCCAACCAAGATGCATCTGGCCTTCAAGACTAGATAAATCTTTTCCAGCCAGTTATGCATGCACTGCGAGCATTGCTCCTGGTAGTATCTCACCCTAGCTGGATTAATGCTAGAACAGCTTTACCTAAATGTAGCTTCCTGCTCAAAACTTCCAGTCAAAACCTTGCTTGTGGGAGCTGCTTCTCCCACATTGTTTGCTGCTGTCCCACCCAAGCTGACCCTCTTTGAGCCTGGGGCTGTCTCCCATGCGCCAGTGGTCCTGGGTGCTGAGCGAGGGGTGGCTTCTGACTGCCCGGCCCCTATGCTGCTCTGGGAGAGCTCCCTTGAGCTGGGTGAAGGCGAGTTTGCTTTCGGCTGTCATTAGTGGTGCTGACTTGTTCTTGCTGAAGAGCTTTAAACACTGAGCTTTTTGCTTATGAGCACTGTTGGCAGGGTGGCCATTAACTCTTCTGCAAGTTATTTTAATAACGTTATTGATTCCATTACTTAGCTATAGTTTGGCTACATCAAGTCGTGGTGTTAGGGTGAAGAAGCAGCTACTTAAGTGAGTACAACTGATGTTTCTTTATGGGGTACCCAGAACCAAAGAGAACTCCTGGAGTTCCCATGGATGCTAGCCTAAAATTTGGGATGGTTTCTAAGGGAGCGGTTGCCTTTATTCTAACATCCCAATCAATCGTATGAATACAATTTTGTAACTGACTCTTCTTTGTGCACTTGATACAATTGTACAAAAAGAAAACACTCTTCAGCTGTTATGGGAGAGCTGTGACCATGCACTGATAGCTGGTATTCTTGAAACAAGTCTGTTTTCTTTTCTTTATCTAGCAGTTTTTGATCTGATGTTGATCTGATGCATCCTCTAATGATTGCTCCGAGTTGTAGGAAGCTCCTTTGGAAAGTGCAGAGACTTTCAAACCTCAAGGAGAATAAATTAATCACAGGTGGTTGATTGGGTGAGCCACAGTGCTAAATGCTGCATATTCTGTTACTCAGCTGGGTCTCAGAAAGCTGATTCCCCATAAAAACACACATTTACAAACTGCTGTCATAGTACATCCTTCTTTTATAGTCTAATCCATAAATCCACTGACATCAGTTGGAGAACTCTCCTGGTTATGCTTTTGGACTACGGATCAGACTTTATAATGCTTCAAAAAAGCTCTGAAAAGCTGTGAGAAGATTTGAGAGGCTTCCCCATAAAGACATGGATGGATAATTTATTTATCATTTGTAAACATATACCTAGAGGTGTAGACAACTGGCATATTTACATTAAGCAAATGGAATTCCAGTTAAAAGAAATCAAACTGCTGGCAAACAAAGAACCCCCTGAAATTGTAGCTCATCTTTCCTAAAGTAAAATCAAAAGTAGCAATGCCAGCTCATCATTTCAAGCTTCCTAAAACAAAACATCTATTAAAAGTAATTCACCTCAGGCAAGAGCATGTTGTAACAGAGAGACTTTCCACTGTGCTCTGAGATGGCAACATACTTAGTTCTGCTGGATCAAAAATGGGCTGGCAACTGTCAGCGATGAAAATGTCCCTCTGAGAACACCTGGCTGCCCCAAACCCGGCACCTGGCAACCACTGCAGCTGGGATCAAACCTTCTGTTGACTTCTGTGAGACAGGAGAGAAAGCCACACGTCAGTCCCATGACTCTTCATGCTATTAGCACTTAGGCAGAAATAGTTGGAAAGACAATTTACCCTAACTTGTGTCTTGGCAAAGTAAGGATAATGTGTGCACCTGTAAGAGAAGCTGCAGACAAAAAGTCAGTGCCAACAGTCTCCAAGCACATAAAGTGAGTATACTTAGATTTCGCTGACTATTTAGCAACTATGTCATCATTAGTACAGTAATTCCTCTTCAGCACACTCCTGTTCATCCTATTTCTGTCTTCTCCTGTATGTACTTATTTTTTTGTCTGGATGTGTCGAGTTCTCGGAACTGGTCTTCTTTCCCTCTTCCTTTCCCAACCTCTTCGCTCTCCATCTTTATTCCACTATGTCTTAACAAGGAAATGATTTTTGTCCAAAGAAAGGTTTCATTTTGGATACCGTTATCTGGGAAACGATTGGTTCTTTTTGTCAAACTTTCTACTTAAGCACAACACCAAAAAATGCCATGGGGAACCAGAAAGATAAATCACTACAGTGTAAGGGGTCTTTTTGAATCAGTTTTCTGTACTATGCAATTGTACAGATACATATTTTACCTTACCTACCATAACTCAACTGACGGATATTTTCTTTAATTGAAAAGTTGGGATAAAAAAGGAAGCTCATTCAAGACTGTCTTGTGAAGACAACCATGGGGGACAGCCCCCCTTTGGGACTGGCTATACTGCGGTGTCAGAAAGCAGGCCGTTGGCTGCTCACGATACAGCAGGCAGCCAACAATGTTCCCTGCTCAAGCGGTAGCATCCACTTAAAAAGGGCAAAGAGATGGGTTTCAATTACTTCTTTTTTCTCGGCCTGTTGGCTGGACTCATTCTGGACCCTGGCAGAATGGCAGAAGCTGTACTGGATGTCCCTGTGCTGCATCCTGCAGCACTTCTGGTGCACCAGTGAGGGTCCTTGGAGCTGGCCTGCTCTTCCTGCAGCCTGCATGTCTGCACTGCTCACCAGTCTAATGAGACAAAGCCTTAATGGAGCCCGAACGTCCATCTGTGTCATATGTGTCATGAGGTATGCTGCTCTGGGAAGGGAGAGCTGACAGAAAGTGCTGCTTGTCAAGTTAATGGAGAAACAGCGACGGGACAGTTTGGTAGAGATCAGTCTCAGACGGCACGGAGTGAGTGAAGAGCGGATGTTAACCCACTGCTTCTCACCATGAAGAAAGTAGAGGCCATCAGGTGGAAGGATCAGGTAGCATAAAACAGAGGCAAGGAAGTACCTTCCCACACAGAGAAGTGATTGCGCGCCTTTCCATGGGACACTGCCTGTGTCAATGTATAACCAGAGTTAAAATGTGGCCAGACAAATCCCTGGCTTAAAAGTCCTCCAGGGCTTTCAACGACAAAGATCGAGGTCAGGACTGCTGGTCCCCTACCCTTGTAGGTGTTTTTCTGAAGCACTCACTGCTTTCCTCTCTCACAGACGTAGCTTTGATGTGCCTTCACGTCCTTGTCTTCCCTCTTCTCCCTGCCTCCACTGTGGACACTTCCATTCAGCCTTGACTAAGGGACACGGCAGAGCCTCCTGATTGAACAGATAACTCCAGAATGAATTTTGCCTCACAGCGACATGGTAGTAAACCCTCTGGTGGCATAATTTGTCACGAATCATTCAACTTTTAATGGAATGATGACAGTTGATACGATGAAGAATATGTCCTATAATTTTAGTTCTACTCTCTTGTGAGCTGGAAGGAGTTCACTCATTACTACTTTTGTCGAAGTTGAGGGGGGGAGTTGATTTCTCCCACTGATCTTTTATTTTAGGAATTCAGTTCTTGTCTGTACTGAAGAATTAATTCATCGGAGCTGAAGAGCTGACCTTGTAGGAAATTGAAGCACACTGGAGAGAAAATAATTCCTAGTTTAAAATAAATAAATAAACAAACAGTTCCAGCTCTTCTGTAAGCTGTGATAAGAGTTCCAAATGTACATATAAAACCTGCCAATACCGAAATATGAACAAGTAGGCATGATTTTTCTAACACTGCTTAGAGTGAAAAGCAGGCATGGAAAAAACTAACTGAAAACTCATTTGAAAAGGCCTGCCTAAAAATAAGAATCATACAAAAAAAGGAAACTGAAATATAAACACAATTTTGCAATAATATTTTGCAAACTGTCTTGATTTTGGAAGGATGCAGAGCACGTTAGGATCAGCGGCCTGCATAGGCTATTTTATAGTAAATCCCATTGCATTTGTCATCCCCAGAACAATCGCCAGCCTTACATTACTTTTATTTATTACTGAAGTGCTCAGCAGCAATGAGAGCTGAAGCGAGGGGAGGAAATGGCTTCAAGAACATGGCAAGAATCCCTTAAAGTTAAGCAAATTGAATGGGGAAAGTTACTTTAAAAGTATAGGTGGTCAGTGTAAATTATTCAACACTTGAAATGTTTTCCCTTGATGATTTTAATCACATTGTGAAATCAGTCATTCATGCTTCTGTAAAACACTTGATTTATTGGAAGCTTTAATCTATTAGTTGCAGCACAAGAGCCAACTGTGCACTCAGCTCCCCAGGCAAAGCGAGCCGGACCCAGCAGCACACCAAGGTTGCTGCTACCGAGCACACACTGCCATATTCATCCAAACAAACCATCCAAAAGAGAGATCTGTTGCCCAGAAGTGGTGAAGTTGCCCCATTAATCTTATCTGAACTCAAGAGAGAGTGTCCCAAAAGCTATTCCTGCCCTCTGAAGGAAGGTGTCCACCTGCAGAGCCCGTACTCAGTGGGTGCCATGGGCTGGTGGGGAACAGCCTGATTAATCCTTCTTTTCTTGCACTCAAGAGATGAGCTGAGCACTTCACCGTGT